TATTATTTAAATTTTTCAATTTAATAGCTAAATGTTTTAATTGATGTCTATGTCTACTAATATAACCAATTGTTTTAGTATCTGTTAAATTCATTAATAACTGTTGTCTATAAACAATAACATAATTAAATAGTAATAGTTTTGGTAAAACTTTTATTACAATAAATCTATTAATCAATAATTGTTTTTCAGGACAATCAATGGTATTATTATTCATGTTATCATTGAATTCAAATCGACAATCAATTAGTTGATGAAATAATTGACGCAATCTATGACTAGTAGTAGTGTTTAACATATGTAAACCATATTTATTAATATGTTTATAAATATCCCAATAATTTCTATCCCTATCATCGATAGCTAATTGTTGATTCAATGGTACGATTGGTATAAATACTAATTCAATCATTGGTAGTCTAATATTGTATTGAAATTTAATTTGTGTTTTAATTTGATAAGTATTATAACTATCAATTATCGATAATAAATGCCAACACATTATCAGTAAACATATTGAAAATATTAAATAATTAATTAGTTGTTTAATATAGTAATTAAAATATTTATTGAAAATATTAGACTTGAATTTTTTTTTAAATCTAATAGTTGTTAACATTTTTTTCAATGAAAGCATTTCTAAACATTTAGTTAATAATGAATAACAACTATAACCCCAAAACATTGACATAAGTCCTCCCAATTCACACCAATAACTAATGACTGATATTTTTGGTGAATATATTATATGTAATTTAAATTGTTTTCTAATTCTAATAAAAGATATTTTTTTAAAATACAAATTTAATTTTGCGTCCGATTCTGAAACTGATATATCATATGTATAATGATTGCAATCGGGTTTACATTTCCGGTATAATTCACTAATTTTATAATCGACTAAACAATCGTTGATTGAATTATTATTTCGTAATTTATTAAAATGTTTAGTTAATGATAAAATTGTTGATTGATTTTTGACAGGATATTGAATCCAATAGTAATTATAATTACATTTTCTATACTCTCTATCAGTCATTATATTTAACATGCATTCCGTACGTGATTTTGGTTTCTCTAGTCGTCCTACTAGTGGTCGTCCATCAGTTGATTGTTGTTTGTTGTCATCGATATAATTTTCATAATATTTGCAATCAGTCTGATAGGAAACGGTAGGTATTGTTGTAGATTTGTTTCAATTAGATAATTAGTTACCATTTTATTGTTTAACCGATACATATAATGTTGAAAATGTGTGGGTGTATTGCTAGTTGAGAATGCTAGTTTTCTGTTATCCAAGACAACGTTATTATTATGAAAACCTATTAATAAATAAGTTATTAATGTATTTGGATTAACTTGTAAATTTGTAAAATTGCCCTGGTAAAATAATTGTAAACATTTTTTGCCCGTATAGGTATAGCGCAAATAGTTTTCATAATAATAATTATGACATAATATATCATTTATTTCACATAGAAATACATTACTAATTTTGATAATTGATTTATCTGTTGAGTAATATTATTATTATTATTATTATTAGTTTCATTATTATTGATCCACTGATCATCACTTATAGTCAAACACAATGTTATCGATGGCATTGTTTTTATATTTAAAAAAACATTATAAATAGATTTATTGAAATATAATTCATTGTTTGTATTGTATTTCAAATACTCTGTTGAATGCATTAGTATTTTATATATAAATAATATCCACAATAATAATATGATAATTGTTTTAATTTTCATTATTATTATTATTAATTAAATGACTTTTTTAATAAAAATAAAAATTATTGATATTTTATTATTAGTAGTATATTACTGTTATTTTTTTTTTGTCTGTAATTTATACAATTAAACAATTTAAGTAATTTTTAAAGTAAACTATTTTTTAATTTTCTTTATCAAAATTATACTGATGTTATAATAATAATGTATTTTATATACAAAGAAAAATACTAATGCTTTAAATACTATAGTTTTTATTAAAGTTATTTTTCTCTCATTTTTAATGATATAATAATATAATCAATAATATTGTTGAATAATTTATTTACTATATTTCATCTATAGATATATATAATAGAAACAAAAAATTTGTAATAACAAATTTGTACCAGTTACAAAATAATAATAATAATATAGTTTATATTTTAATAATTAAGGTATACTACAGCATATGTATAATAAATAAATATAATAACTAACTAAATAAGTTTAATAAGATATTTTGTTTTTTTTTTGTATATATATGACACTGGTACTAATTGTATTTTTTTTAATAATAACAATTAAATTATTTATTAACTTTTCATAATTTCATAATACTATACAAAAATTTATACGTATTTAATAAATAATTAATTTTGTAAATTACTATAAATTATTAYTAATGTTTTCAGCAGAAAAACAAACAAACTAAATTTGTTAATAAAAATTAWAATAATTTTTAAATTAACTTATTATGTGTTATAAAAAATTTTTGTTTTAAATTATAATTATTTRTTATTAATTAATTGTTGATAATTTTTAAATATAACTAAAATATATTAGTATTTTTACAAACTAAGATAAACTGTAGGCAACAAAATAAGATAAACCAATTAGAAACAATTTATATTAAATTGAAAAATTAACAAACAAAAAAATAGATTATTAATTTATTTCGATATTATTTAATGTTATTAGTTATTGCAAAAACTTAACTAAACTATTTAATAAACTTATTGTTATATATAGTATATTATTGTTGTGATAATAATAGTATAAACTATTTTTAATAAATTTATAAAAAATAAAATATAATTATTAATTTTTTTAAATATGATTTTTTTAATATAGTTATTTATTTTTTTCGTATATAAAATTTTCTAATTTTAATATTAATTTGATAATAAGATTTTTTGTATTTATTTTTTTTTTAATTTTATTTTATTTATTTTAAAAATTATAGTTTTACTGTAATTTAGATTAAAATTTTTTATCAAACAATTAATTAGCTTATAAATTGTTGAATTGAGATAAGTAATCGACAATATTTAATATTTTTTAATTCATAAATTTATTTTTTAATTATTAAATTATATTGGTTATTTTTTGAAACAAAATACATTTATTAAAACATATACTTAATAAAAATAAATTATTATTATTAAGTAAATTAATTATTAAAGTTTTTATAATCAATTATTTTTTTATAAACAATACATAACAATTATCAATATTTTATTTAATATAAAAATAATATTAAAGTTTTTAAAAATATGAATTTTTATTATATATATATATATAATTTATAAATAATATATATTAAAAAAAATTTTTTAACTAAATTTTTTTCACTAACCTTTTGGCCACCGATGGCCGTCCTCTTCGGTAACCATATCGATACCGGCGTAAAGATTTTTGGCCAACTCGTCGACAGTGTCCGACATCGGGAAGCGGCCACTCATACCGCTGATGACAATATCATTACCGTTAGCCGACATTTTTGTTTTAATTTAATTAAAAAAAAACTAATAATAATAATATTTTTTATAATGTATTAATTATTTAGTTTTCACTTTTAACAACAACAACACTAACAACTAAAAACTTATCCAAAAAAACTAATAATAATAACTATTATAACTGTTATGTATTTTTGTGGTCTAATTTTGTTTTCTTAATTTTCTATTTTTTTTAATTTTTTTTGATAAATTAAAAAATAATAAAATTGATTTCAAGTTTGTTATCAGTGGGGAAATACATTACTTAAATAATTAATAGAAAAAAAGTCTATTTATTTTTTGAAATGCTTTTTATGTATACTTTATTTTTATTTCAACAAAATAAAAGATAACATAACAGGTATTCAATGCATTGATATATATTAATAGTATTATTACTATTATTATTACATTATATAATATCCCATTAGTAGATGCAGTAAATACCGGTATAGACTTAAAATAGACATAAATATATAGATATATATATATATATATTTTAAAAGTATATTTTTAAAAATACCACTAATAAGTTTTACATAATATAATAGTTAATTAAATTAGTTCATTATGATAACAAAAAATAAATCTATTTATTGATTTTGATTTAATATTAGGTCATAAAATTAACTATTTTTAATATTATGATAAAATAAAAAATTAATGTAAAGTATATAAATAATTGTTATTATAATATATATATATATATATCTATATCTATATATATATATATAATATAATAAACTTTCAAATATTATATTTTTATTTTAGTCTATTGAAAACTATTTGCTATATTTGTTGTTTTTTTCAACAACAATATTGTTAATTTAACAACAACAAAATTGATTACAAAAATCTTATAAATATTAATCAAAAATCATTATAATAATAATAATAATATTTTATATTAATAAACTTTTATTAAAATAATTTTATAGTAATTAGTTAAAGTAATATTATCAATATACAATTATTTTTTTAAAAAATTATATGAGAAACTAAACATATTTATATTATAATAATAATCAAAAACAATATACAATAAAAAAAAGATATCAAATATAATTAGACATATTTATTAATTCACATAATAATAATTAAAACAATTAATAAAGTATAGAAATATTTTTTTAACAAAATAAATTGTAAAATACTATTAGTAGTATTTTTTTAATAAAATTATTAATAATTAATAATAATAATAATACTATTAATAATTAATAATAATAATAAAATAATTAATATTTAATAAAAATTAGAAAATTACTAATAATTACTAATAATAATAAAATTATTAATAATTACTAATAATTATAAAATTATTAATAATTACTAATAATAATAAAATTATTAATAATTAATAATAATAATAGTAAAACTACTAATCAATAATAATAATAATAATAATAATAATAATAAAATGAGCAATATAATTTATGTATTATTTATATTAATTCAATTAAATCATCATCACCACCATGGTGTTATTGGTGACGACAACACATATACAGTCAAAATAGATCCCACCAGACAATGGGGTCAATGGGACGGTTGGGGTACATCACTGGCCTGGTGGGCCAATGTATTTGGCGATAGGGATGATCTGGCTGATATGATGTTTACATTGAAATGGATTGACTATCATAATAACCAATCGGTACCGGGACTCGGTTTGAACATTGCCCGCTACAATGTAGGTGGGTGCTCGTGGAATACACTGATTAGTAGGAACGGTACCACCACTGAGCGTATGGTTGAATCGCCAAACATACCCAAGTTTCGGCAAATGGAAGGCTATTGGCTGGACGGCAAATCGGAGGACAACCCGGATGACTACCGAAGCTGGAATTGGACAGCCGATAGTCGCCAACGTCAGATGGTCGGTAAAGCCCAGGACAGGGGTGTCGATCAGTTGGAAATGTTTTCCAACAGTCCTATGTGGTGGATGTTAGCCAATCTGAATCCKAGCGGTGCCGGGGATGGCGGTGAAAATCTCCGGCCCGACGCCTATCGTAAGTTTGCCGCCTATTTGGCTACAGTAGCCAAGTATGCCCGCGATAGGTGGAACATGACGTTCGTATCGGTTGAACCGTTTAATGAGGCAACCAGTTGGGGCTGGACTTCCCAGGGTAGTCAAGAGGCCTGTCATATTGGACCCGAGGCACAGCAACAGGTTATCAGGTATTTTCTAGATATAGGAAAATAGAAAGTTTCTAATTAAAATTTTCCCATTGAGAAAGTTTCTCTAGAAAATTTCTATAGAAATTTAACTTTTTATTGTTATACAGTACTATGGGATCTCCATATACTATATATATATATATATATATAGCTATTATAATACTATAAATATATATTAATGAGAGACTAATACTACTATATATAGTATATATTATATTATAATGTATCATAAATTATTATATAATACTATTATACAAATGGGATACCTATATATAAATATATAAAATAATTATAATTATTTAATAATAATCAGTTTTCTAAAAAAAATTTTATTCATCACATTTTATTATATCATTTGTTAAATATAATTAAATTAATTATTTTTTTTAGTTTAATTACTATTATTAAAATACTGATAATAATATTTCAATTATTACTTATTACTTGTTGTAAAAAACAATGTTAAAGATAACAAAATTATCCAATAAATATAAATTTTTTTTAGAAACTTTCTAAGAAATTTCTCTTTTGTTTTTTTTGTTGCCAACATTGTAGATATTTGAGACAGGAGTTAGACGGACGTGGACTCAGGGATGTATTGGTTTCGGCATCGGATGATAATACATATGACGGTGCCGTAAAATTGTGGAAAAGTTTCCCCCGAGATGTCCGTCAATTGGTCGCCAGGGTTAACGTTCACGGCTATCAGTATGCGTATGGCCAGCGAAAAGAGTTGTATGAATTGGTGGGTACGGGTGCCGGAGGTGACGGTAAGAAACTGTGGAATACAGAGTACGGAGAGGGAGATCCATCCGGTATACCGTTAGCCCAGAATCTGATGTTAGACTTGTTTTGGTTACATCCGACCGCTTGGATCTATTGGCAAACGTTTGACGGATCCGATTGGAGACTCATTGTTGTAAGCAATTTATAAACTTAAATATCTCTCTCTTCTCTCTCTCTTCTCTCTCTCTCATAGTCTCTCTCATCTCTCTCTCATAGTCTCTCTCTTAGTCTCTCTCATCTTCTCTCTCATCTCTCTCATAGTCTCTCTCATAGTCTCTCTCATAGTCTCTCTCATAGTCTCTCTCATAGTCTCTCTCATAGTCTCTCTCTTTAATATTAAACTTCACAAATTAGTTTACCCCCCTTATTAAAACTAAAATTTTAATTTATATGAAAAAACAATAACACTTAATTTGAAAAGTTTACTCTAACTTTGTTATTTGAAAAAATATTTATTAATTTTTTTAGAAAAAAAACTAAAAAAATTATTTATATTTAAATACTCTATTTTCAAATTAAATTTAAAAAAAATTATTTATTAATTTTAAAAAAGAAATATTTATTAATTTAAAAAAAACTAAAAAAATATTTATATTTAAATACTTTATTTTGAAAATTAATTTTTTTTAAAAATTATTTATTAATTTAAAAAAATCTAAAAAAATACTTATATTTAAATACTTTATTTTCAAATTAATTTTTAAAAAAAAATATAATTATTTTTTTCAGACAAATCCGGCTGAAAAACAATTGGGTCGTCTGAATCATAAATACTATGTATTGTCACAGTTTTGCCGACACATTAGGAAAGGTATGCAAATACTATCAACCGATCGATTGAATACTGTAGCCGCCTATGACTACCAACATAAACGTCTAGTTATTGTTTCCTTAAATTTGGATCAATCATCAGTTAATATTACCTATGATTTAACAATGTTTGCCAATATAACTGAGAGGACAGTTGTTAGCCGATGGACAACACAACCGAAAAATGATAAGCGATTATATGTTTTTGATAACAAACTAAATATTACTAACAAATTATTTCAAGTTATGTTAGATAAAAGAAGTTTACATACATTAGAGATTAATAATGTAAATGTAATTTAATAATAATAATAATAATCTAAAAATTAATTGAAAAATTAATTATACTATTACTATATTTTAATTAAATTATTATTTTACAGACAAGTTATAAAATAAATATTTTTTAAATATAAATAAATATTTTTTAAATATATAGATAAATATTCTTTAAATATAAATAAATATTATAACATTTTTTGTTGCTTTTGTATTAAACTACTATTGCTTAAACACTTATGCAATAATTTTAATTAATATTATTTTGTTAGTTGAAATAGTGTTTATTTAAATTATATACAGTATATATAGTTATAAAACATTTTATAAACGTTTTAATATCATCATCATTGATATTATTTATCGTATGTATACTCAACATTTATCCAAGGTTAAACTAATTAATATATAATACAGTATAAACGTTAATAATACTGTATATATATTATTGTCAATAAATATTATAGTTAATATTTTTATCCCCATACTATATCCCATGCACTGTACACTAAAAATGTAATACACTGTATATATAAACTAGTAATTGTTATACAGGCAAGTTATAGCACAAACAAATAGAGAGTAATACAGTACAATCACTATACATATTACCCCCAAAAAAAATCAAGTTACAGATATTATTAATAGTAATCTATAAGTTGTTTAACATGTATTGCAAACTTTGGTTATAATATTAGATAATTATTGCAATATAAGCCTTACATATACTGTATATAAACAATTGTACTTCAAATGTACGTTCAATTAACTAATGCACCTTTAATYGGGTGCATAGTTATAGTATAGATATAAGTTTATCACCAATAAAATATTGTATGTATTAGTTTTCAAAAAAAATAATAAAAAATAAATTTTAACAAATATTTAATACAGTAGTACTTTAATGAACTTATATCAGTATCAAATCAAACATATGAGTGTGATATTTACATTGAAAAATTAAAAGTATATAAATATTTGAAAATAATTTTTAAAAAAACATTACAAATAATAAATTTTATATTATATATTTTGTTTAATAATAATTTAATTATTTWTATATTTTTATATATATACAGTATATAWATAGATTTTTTAAAAATTAATTAATTAATTAWTAATAATAAGTTTTTTTAAAAATAGTGATGTTTAAACCATCAGACAATTACAGTTTTTTTTATTTAAAAAGTAAATATATAGCATAATTGATAGCATATATGAAATTTTGTTTTTTTTTTCAAACAAATTTAGATTTCAAACAATTCAAATAATACTTAATAAAAATAAAAATAATTAAAATGTAATACTTATGTAATATTTATTTTTTTATATGTTATTTTATTGAAATAAGTTTTTTGAAAGTTATTAATAAAATAAAATTATTTATATAATAATTTTAGTGTAGTTTAGTGTTAAAAATAATTAATTAGATAGTACTCATTTTTGCGTCCTAAACAAAACTATTTTAATGTAAAACTATAAATTCAATTTTATAAATAGTTTTATGGTACAGTTTAATTAATTTTTTTTTAAAATAATTATTTATAGATATATGATTTTTTTTCTTATTGCAAACTATAGTATAGTTAGACTGACCACCCATACAGGTGCCGCCTGTRTTATACAGGAATCTAGGGTCTGATACAGGTGACAGGAAAGGGGCTAACCTGTATAATATAATATACAATTTTAAAATATGTGAAACTAATTAATAAATGAAAGTATAAAATAACTATTTAGGTAAAATTTGTTAATAAAAATTGCTTGTATTTTTGATATAAAGTTTAAATATATAAAATAAATTTAAAAAATTTAAATTTTATAAAAATAAAGTTCTACATGTTCAAAATAGAAAACTAAATTTCATCTTTTTATGTAATTATAATATTTAAATTTAATTTTTCTTAATTTATATTATAAATTTATATAGTTATTTAAATACAAGTTAATATACAGGAATATAATATTTAATATACAGGAAAATAATGGTGAAAGTCATATATTTTATTATATTATACAGGTTTACTAATAAATTGGGTGGTCAGTCTAAGTATAGTTAATAAAACTAATCAAAACAAAAAAATATTATTTTAATTAAAAAATAAATTAATTTTTTTAAAAAAAGCAATAAATTATAGTTATATATATAATTATACAGTAAATTAACATAAATTTATAGATTCTAGTAATATATAAAATTATTTAAAAAATGGCATTTTTAATTAATTAATTTAGAATCATATGAATTATCTAATAATTAATTTCTAAAAATTATTTTAATTTACAGTTTTCAAATATATATATCTAATATTAATAAATTATTTTTTCAAACTATAAGTTATATTTATATACTATTATATATAAATTAAATTAAATTTATAGACTTTAAAAAATTAATCATTTAATTAATTAATTAAAAACCACTGGTTTGGTTTTGACTTCATTGCCCCTCGACCCCCACAAAATATTTTTTGAAGATACAAATAATCATTTAATATATTTTTACAGTAGTTTTTTATAAAAAGTAATTTGATTTAGGTAACATTTTAAGTTTTTCAATTAATAAATTAATGATATAATATATTAAATTAATTTATATATTTTTAATTATAAAGTTTATTTACTAAAAGATTAAGTAATTGTTCTTTAGTTTTTATCTAATAATTATTTTCTAAATATGTTATGAATAAAATTTGAAAAATTATTTTAATTTACAGTTTTTTTCATAATAATAATTTTTAATTAATCTTTAATTACTTTACTATATTAATTATTATTATAATTTTAAAAAAATAATTAATTAATTAATATATATTTATTGTAGAATAAAATAAAATACTTGAATATGAGTTTAAATGAAATATTATTTTAAAAAATTGTTAAAAATTGAAAATTAACATTAACATTATATAATTAATTTTTAAAAAAAACTAAAATATTATTATTATAATTATTAATTAATTATAGTTAATCGAACTACATTATGCCCATGGCTATTTTGTCAACACATTTCTATCGCCGGCAACCAATCAACGACAAGATAAATACGGCGGATCACTGGCCAATCGGATGCGTTTGGGTTTGGAAATTGCCGACAAAGTACGCCAGGCTATACCCGCCGATACTGTACTGGCCGTCCGTATATCGTTTACCGATTATGCCGATAATGGCTGGGAACTGAAACAATCGGTAGAGTTAGCCAAACAGCTCAAAGCACTGGGAGTTGATTTGATTGATGTCAGTTCCGGTGGTGTTGTATCGGGTATTGGCTATGAATTTCTCGATACATCCAAACAACAACATTCGGCAGCGGCTGTCATACAACTAGAGGCCGGCATACGGACGGCAGCTGTCGGTAAAATCCGAGATCCATTGATGGCCGAAAAACTACTTCGGGATAACTGTTCAACATTTGTATTCATCGGTAGGGCGTTCCTCAATGACCCGCACTGGCCGTACAGAGCCAGCGATCAACTCAAGGACAGGTCATTCACATATCCCAAACCGTATGACTGGTGTATCGGTTGGACAGCGTATATGAAATGGCGTAAAGATTTAGATAACAAATAATAATAATAATTTAAATAATAGTTAAAAAAATAATTACTATTAAAATCTAATATTTATGTAATAATTAATTAATTTTTTTTGAATTTGTTATTTTATTAAAATAAAATTTTTAAAAGTTATAAATATTATTTTATTTTTTTTTAAATAATTTTAATGTAGATTAGTATTAATTTTCACAGCAAAAAATAAGCCATCAACTTTGGTAGCTCAAAAATATATTTCATAATACAATTATAAATTCAATATTATAAAAAATTTTGATGTACAGTTTATTATATTGTATTTATTATTTTAGTAGGTTATATTATCATCTATATTATAATCTATAGTTTAATTTAATTTTAAAAATAGTTTTGATAAACAAATAATTATTTAATTATTATTTATTATTATTAAATAAATTATATGTTTAATCAGTTATTTATTCATGATATTTTAGATTTTTTAAGTTTTAAAATTATTACTAATAATTATGAAATATAATTTAGTTGTAATAAAATTATTAGTTAAAAAACAATTTTTAAAATATAATCTATTAAATAACTTATACTAACAATAATTTATATAATTAAATATTTAAATATAATATAATTTTCAACTAATTAATAAATTAATTAAATTTATATTATCAATAAGTTTGTCATTAATTATGTATTACTATAAAAATTTTCATAATATAATAATAAACAATAACTAAATTAAAAACAAATTACAGATTTTAAAAAAATAAATAATAATAAATATTTTTATTATAAAAAATTATTAATTAGTATTCAAACGACATAATATGCAATTTATTATAATAGGTTATAGTTTTATTTTTTTWAAAAAAAATATTAGTCTTATATGTTTAATATTATTTATATAAATAATAATAAACTAAATTATTTTAAAAATTATTTACTTTATATTAGTGTAGATCAAAAAATCACTGATAGTATTGATTGTGCAACTTATATTTATATAGGTTATAGAACAGCTAAAAAAATATATTAAAAAACAACTATAAATATAATTTTACAAAAATAAATTAATGTACAGTTTGTTATATTGAATTTATTATATTTATTATTACATATATGCTAATAAAAACTTCAAAAAATTCAAATTCAATTACTGTTTTTTATTTAAAAATTAAATGTAAAGTATAATTAATTTGACTGATCTATTGATTGGACTATATATATATATCAAAATTTTATAAATTTTATAAATTTTATAAATTTAATAATTATGTAATAATTATTTTTTTATTTGTTCTTTTATTTAAATAAGTTTATAAAAGTTATTAAAAAATTAAAATTATTTTTTATTAATAATTTAAGTATAGATTAATGTTAAAATAACAACAATAATATTAATAATTAGATAATTATCTTAAGTTTATCCTAAAATAAAATATTTATAAAAACAACAATAAATTCAATTTTATAAATAATTTAAAATTACAGTTTTATTAATTTTTAAATTTTTAGTATAGAATTGAGAAAAAAAATTTCTCAGACTATAATTTAATGATTACTATTGAACTAATAATATAACTAATACTGTATTTACTATACATTATTATACGTTATTATAATTGTAAATAAAATAGTTTTTTTCGTCTATAATCTAATAATACAATAATAAAAGTAATAACAGTTTAATTAAAAATTTTTACATAAAAATAATATTGTTCATAACATATATTTGTATTTAACATACAAATAATAATAATCATCGGTTAATTAAAAATAAATAAATATTTATATGAATTTTTCAAATATATATATATTATATTACTTTATTACAAAAAAAAATTATAATAAAGTCAATTATAAGTATTTATAAATATATAAATTATTATAAAATTATTATTAAACAATTGTTTTTTAAAAAAATATATGTATAATTAATGTTAATTTATTTATTAACATTTTTAAACAAAATAATTCAATTGTTCAAAATCGATATACGCTAATATATAACTAATTAAATTGTATAAAAAGTTTTACATTAATTAGATAATAAATTACAATTTTTACAATTTACAATTTACAATTTTTACAATAAAAATTGCTATAATATATTTTTTAACTTACTTAGAAACATACTTATTACTGTTATATACAGATAAAAAATATAATAAAAAAATCTATTAAATTAATTTTATTATATTGAAAAAAGAAGATGAGAAAATATATTATTTGATTTTTTTAAATAAAACATAAAAATAAGCCATATTATTATTAATTAAAAAAATTGGACCAAGATAATTTATCCTTGTCAGTTAAATGGCATGTTTATCATAAAAAATATTATATGTGTAAGTTATTTTTTTAAAAAATATAATTTTAGATGATTTAAATATTGTCCATAAAATTCTTTTTTTAATTGTCTACAAATATATTGAAAAATACGTATTATTCAATCACTCTCAATAAAATAGGTAAGTGATTTAAAAAAAATTATTATTAAACTATTTTTTAATTATTTATTTTTATTATTTAAATAAATTATTTGACCGAAACTAAATAATAGAACACAAATTATTTTCCCTCCCTCTTAAGCGCCTATATTAAAAAAAATTAGTATATATTAGGAATTGTCTACTCTAGTATTATGAACTACTCACAATTATTTACAATTTTTTCTGAAACAAATAAAAATATTAAAATTAATAAATAAAAATTGGATAAAACATGTTCTATAATAAATAATTTCTAATTTGGAAAAATATATAATGTATTGAAATTAGACAATAAATAAAATATCGGCTAAAATAATGGTTGCCAATGCTTAACAAAAAAAATGTCCAATATTCTGTCAATGTTAATTGTAAATTTTCATCATAAACTAATAAGATTACCAAGATGATAAAATATAAAATATTATTTATAGCTGATTTTATTGTTGTAAATGTACTACTGTATTCATTGTTTATAACAATAATCAAGTGTTTGGCAATAGTTTTTACAAAATAAACATATATATATAATTTTTTGAATTTATATTTTCATTAACTGTTAGAAATGTTTTATTATTATTATTATTTGAATAATTATAGCTCAAGTTATGCTCATAATATCGATTATATTTTAAATAATTACAAACAATTTCCATAACAAAAATAAAAAATAATTGATTTTTGTTTTTTACATTTTTAACTAATCGCTATAATTGTCAACACTTTTTCTATGATTGTATAACTTTTAAATCTAATAGCATAATCATATCAGTTATCTATAACAAAAAAACCATTTTGTTTTTATTTTATTTAAATTGGTTTATCATGTTTAAACTAATAATAATTAAAATATTAAACATTTTAGTTTTAAATATTTACATAAAACATTTTACAGTTTTGATAGAACAAATAATATTATTATTAAATAATGATAACAATAATAATATTAAAATTGAAAGTAAAAAAATATTTATTTTTATATAATTTAATATAACTTAAAGTATCAATAATTAATATAATTAAATATTTAAATTTGATATAATTTTGTAATAATTAATTTTTTAACTGAAGTTTAACTAAATTAAGTATTATTGAAAAATTATCATATTATAAGAAAAACAATTATAAATTTTAATTATTACTATATAATAATAATTAAAATAATAAACATTTTAATAAATTATTATATTTAGATAAAATAATAGTTAAATCTTGATTACAGCTATAAATTTAATTTTATAAAAAAATTGCAATTATACAGTTTTTAATATTGAATTTATTATTTTTTTTGGGTAATAGTTTAATTTAATTTTTTTTAAAAATAGGATTAGAATTATTTTTGTTTTTATTTAAGAATATTTATATGCTTGATAATATAAATAAAAATAAAATAAAAAGTTTCAAAATAATTCTTTGGGTTGATACGTGTGCTAATTAATAATATACTAACATTTTTGTTAATAATACCTTTAAAAATACAAATTTAATTACAGTTTTTTTAATTAAAAAAATAAAAAATAAGTTATAATAAATTTAACTAATCTATGGCGTAAAGATTTAGATTTCAAACAATTATAATAATTTAAATAATACTTAATAAAAAAATAATTAAATTTCAGTATGATAAAAATATAATAAAGTGTGTTTAGGGCTAAACGCGACCTTAAATTTATAATAGTCAATATAAACTGTATTATACTGTATATTATACAGTATAATACACATTAATAATGTCGAAACTAACATAATAATGTACTACCCATTTAATAAAAATATATATATATATATACAACTATATAATTTGGAAATGTTTGTTTTACATATTTATTTTACGCAAAAAATTACTTTTAATGTGTCGGCGAATAAAAAATTAATAAATAAATTATAATGTTTATAATATGTTTAAATAAAATTTATTTAAATAACCTTAGGTAAAGCAGTGCCTTTATGCTTAAAAACAGTAATGTACTCTAGGTATAAAGTCGTATATAACATTTTTTTATTATTAAATTGATATTTTTTAAAAATATCAAAAGCATAAATTATTCGCTGTTTTAATTGTGATAAATTAGTTGGTTTGCTATTAGTATACAAAACAATTGCCATATAAAATAATCACATGGATTCAAGTCACATGAATTACTGGGTTGAAATAATGAATTTAATTAATTATAATATAAAAATGTTAATAAAATTTTACAAGTAACTGTCTTAAATGTATCTAATTTATAGATTTAAAACAAAATTTTAAAATTATTTAAAAAATGATTTAATGTATATTAATATAGATAAGTATTAATATAAAACACAATAAAAAACACTTGTAGTTTTATTGGCTAATAATTTATTTTAAAAAACAACTATAAATTCAATTTTATAAATAATTATAAAATACATTTATAAACTTTTTTAAAAATAATAATTTACTGTACATTAGTTTAGATTATTGATTATAAATTATAAACAAATTACAGATTTTATTTTTTTAAATAAATAATTTTATTATAAAATTTATAATTAGTATTCAAATTACAAAATATGCAATTTATTA